GTCTGTGTCTGTGTCTGTGTCTGTGTCTGTGTCTGTGTCTGTGTCTGGTGTATTTTTATTCTGTTTGTTGGAATATTTCTGGTTATAGCATGTCGCTGTGGCTAATTTTCCAGCTCTGGTCTTGCTGAAACAATTAAACAAAAGTTTTTCATGAAGATCCCCACCCCCTTGGTTGGAAAGAAATGTTTTTCAGTGGTACTGAATTTTCAAAGATCAAACCATCTTTTTTTTCTCTCTGAGGCTCAGTGGTGCTTCATTATTTCCTGCTGGGAGGCAGGAAATTAAATAGCAGGGTCCTATAGTGTGAAACCTAATAATAGGATAAGTGATGACAGTGAATGATGGAATTAAAGTTGCTGCTTTTCCAATCATGAAGAACAATTAATGTGCTTGAGTGGCATTTAATGTTCTGGATGTTTTCTTACTGCTAACTGTGGTATGTGATTACTGTTAGCCCTCAGCCACCTTTTTAAGGGGTCCTACACCACTGTTAGTGTGATCTGGCTTAAGATAAGAGTCAACGCATGAAGACACAGTAGCTTTTAAGACTCTTATCTCTCTCTCTCTCGATTTACAATTTTCTAATGTGACCTAATTATCCCTCCCAAAACCTGTTGTTCCAGTTAGTGAACAAAGTGACTCCAATTTGGTTCATAGTGTGGCGCTGGAGGAACACAGCAGGCCAGGCAGCATCAGAGGAGCAGGAAAGTTGACGTTTCGGGTCGGGTCCTGACCCTCTGATGCTGCCTGGCCTGCTGTGTTCCTCCAGCTCCACACTGCGTTGTCTCTGACTCCATCATCTACAGTTCTTGCTACCTCCAATTTGGTTCAGATTTGTCAGTGAAATTGTATGCAGTTTGTAGGTGATGCCTGACGTTGGTTCTTTATCTCTCGATCTTTTTAAATATAAATTTATTTCCCTCCCCCTGTCATATTCTCCCTTACCCTTCCCTGGTTTAATCCTCAATCTCAATGACAGAGTGAAATTGAGAGTTTTTTTACTTCTGGGCCTGGGGAATCCAAAACACAGGAAAATTCATAGAAATTAAGGCCGATGACATGTGTCCGTGGCTGTGTTTTATTTCTATACCATGTTTGAATGCTCATGCTGTGTAGGCCTGTCAAAGTAATTTTCTGGTTGCTATCAATTTGCTTGTTTACCCTTTCTCGTGTCTGTCCCAACACCCCACTGGGTGTTGATTACTAGACTAATGTGAGTAATAAATTTCTGATGATGTGAAAGTCTCAAACATTGATTATTGTGGAATCTACCCCTCCCATGAAGCAGTGGTGGTGGGGGTGGGGAAGATTGCCAGGCAAGTTGACACTGGGGTGATTGCCCCTCCCCACAAAACTGCAGAAATTCAGTTCTCTCTACCCCGACCACAATCTGGGGCCTTTTAAGAATTAGAACTAGAATGAGGTTTTATTG